AGACTAGAGCAAAGCACAAAGCACATCGCTCTGTGTTACTTCCTTGCTCGAGAGTTGCAGCAGTGTGGTCAGCTTCGTCTTACTTTCGTGGCCTCTCGGGCCAACACTGCTGATATCTTCACCAAGACACTTCAGCATAGTGATCATCAACGTTTTTGTACTGATTTAGGCTGTTAGAATAGTATGTAATTCTATATATTGTTCTATAACTGCCTGTATTGTAGAATGCTGTAATCATATAACTTTTTGTTTGGTGGTGCACCTTTCTTGATTCTTGCCTATTTGTACTGCTCGTTCTATAATGAACAACTCCCCACCTCTTTGGCCAACTCTCATTTCCCTCCCTCTCGCTACTCTCGACTATCGTCCTTCCTAGCCATGCTTCCTAAACCTAAGAACTAAGTTCCAACTAAGTTTAGTTCGCCTCTTGATATAGGCCTTGTGCCTACTTGGCCTCACTTGCTTACTTCTTGACTTTACTTGTACCTTGATCTATATACTTCTACCTACATGCTTAAACTTGCTAGGTTTTGATCACTGTACTGCTTGTTCTCCATTATATAACGCTGCGTGTGAGCTGGCCTTATGGCCATTTGCTTGTGCTCAGAGTATGTGGTGAGTTAGTGATCCACCCTAGGCTTGCTTTGCTTTTCTTGACTGGTCTTGTGACTGTTACAGTAGGTAGCTAGGAATGATGAACTATCGAGAGAGTTTGGTACGAGTGAAAAGCCTAAGGGGTTGTACCCTACATTGGCTACCCCACTACAGCCTAAATAATCAAGCATAACATATACAGTTTGACACACCCCCATAGGCAAAGTGGGGGAGAACAAGGGATCACAAGACTAGTCAGGAAAAGCAATACAAGCTCAGGGTGGATCACGACGTCACCACATAGTCCGAGCACAAGCAAAGGGGCCACAAGGCTAGTTCACATGCAGAGGTATATATGCAACAACAACAATACAGTGATCACTACCTAGCGAGAGTAAACATGCAGGTATATGTAAATATATATATATGCATTTATATAAATCACTGTACAACCAGAGTATACAGCATGTCAGGAAACGTAGGCACCAGGCCTAGAGCAGTGCAGAAGCGTTGATGATCACCAGCCAGAAGGGCCTTCGTGAACACATCAGCCGTGTTGGCCCGGGTGGGCACATGAGCGACACGAAGCTGACCAAGCTGCTGCAACTCCCGAGCAAGGAAGTAACCCAGAGCGATGTGCTTTGTTCTCTGCTCCAATCTGTGGTCCTGACACAAGGCGATGGCAGCCTTGTTGTTGACGTACAGAACAGGAGGAGGAAAAGGCCTCTCTCCCAAGTTAGTCAGCAAGTAGGTCAGCCAGCATAGCTCCTATGCAGCCATGGCTCTGGCATAGATCTCAGCCTCACAACTGGAGCTAAGAACAGAAGACAAATATGTTGTCCGCCAAGAAATAGAGCCCGAGCCAAGGCTGAACGTGTAACCCTGTGACGACCGCTGCGTAGCCTGGTCGTCAACCGAAGAAGTGTCTCAGTGCCCAGTGAGGACAACTGAGCTCCGCCCTCCAAGCACGAGCCCCATGCCCGATATATAGCACAAGTAGCGCAGTACCCTCTTCGCAGCATCAATGTGCACCTTTTGGTGCCAACCAGGAGACACGTAGCGTGCCAGAAGGCCAAGAGGGTACGAGAGGTCAGGACGAGTGCAGGTCATCAGGTACATGAGGCAGCCCATAGCTCTGGGTACGGGCCACTCGGCTCTACGGACTTGTCCGAAGGTGGAGCTGAGAGCGAGTGACCGGTAGCTAGAGGAGTGGACTGTGGCGAGGACCAAGTGAAGCCGAAGCGCTGAAGGACCTGCTACACCATGTGTGATTCAGTCAGTGTGATGGTGCGGGATTCTCTGTCCCGAGTGATCTGTAGGCTAAGGTAGTTGCGCAGCTCACCCAGGTCTGTGCACGTGTGTCTCTTCTGCAGCTCCGACTTCACCATGGCGAGAGCCTCAGTGCCAGCAGTGGTAAAGACCAAGTCGTCAACGGACACGAGGATTTAGAACGGCGGCAACGAAGTGTCGGTGCGCAGAAACAGCGACGGGTCAGTAGTGGAAGGTGCGAACCCAAGAGCCGCAAGTGTCGTCCTCAGTGTGTCGTGCCACTAACGAGGCGCCTGACGGAGACCGTATACCGGCCGTCGGAGGCTCCACTGGGTACCAGGAGGGAACGACCCAGTGAAGCTAGGTGGGCGGCGCAGCCAGATCTCCTCGTGCAGGCTGCCCTGTAAGAAGGTTGTGCTGAAGTTTAGAGACTGAAGCTCGTAGTCACGCTGAGCGACAACGTGCAGCAATACCCAAAGAGTGGTCATCTCTGGGGTGGGGGAGAAGGTCTGGAAGAAGTCAACTCCCTGTCGTTGACTGAAGCCTCGTGCAACGTAATGAGCCTTGAAGACAGGTGGAGAACCCGGCGGCCGCTTCACCCTGAAAATCCACATGAGTCGACGTAAGTGCATGTGGACTTCTAGGATGCCATCCCTGCATCCATGGCTGTCTGCCACTGAGAGGAGTACTCACTCGCGATTGCCTAAGCATAAGAGCGCAGGGTCGGGATATTAGGTGCATCCGGGTCTCCCTCAGGGGCAAGCAGCATGGCGACGAGATGAGGCGCAGCGGCTGCAAGACACTCAAAGTCCTCCTGCCTTTCCTCAAGGACGTCCGTGCCAAGAGCACACTCACCCCCAACGGATGGAGGAGAGACAGACTTAGACTCAGCAACAAGACTAGCAGCAAAGTCTAGACGACAGGCAGCAGCAAAGTCAACAAGCTCAGAAACTGAGGCAGACGTAGCAGCAGACTCAAACGACGGGTCAGTGACAACAGTGGCTAACGGACGCGTGACAGTAGGGTGAGCAACACGAACTAAGTCAGACTCAGCATCCTGAACGTGAGGCAGAGAAGACACAGGAGGAGACGTCAGAGGGACACGATGTGGAATAGAGGAAGGAGGAAGTGCCATAGTGTGCGTGACGGGGACAGGAGGAGGACGCTCATGAGGAACACGACGACTAGGGCGATTAGCGCGAACAGGCGAGGCAGGACGAGACATAGGCTCACGACGCTTTGTAAGCGAGTCTGGCTGCGCAGTGTAAGGAGAAGGAGCAGGCAGTGGTGCACCGGCCTGTAACGGGAGGCCAGTAGAAGACGGGAGGCTAAGAACCTGGTGAAGCACGGAGTCAGGCAGTGGTAGAGACGACGGTGACGGCGGAGCGAAAAACAATCACGGCGGTGCAGTGCCACCAGTACTAGTAGCTCCAGCGCCTCCTGCAGCTCCATAACCTCCAGCAGTAGCACCTCCGGCTCCAGTGCCTCTAGCAGCAGCACCTCCAGCTCCAGCGCCTCCAACAGCAGCACCTCCAGCTCTAGTGCCTCCGGCAGTAGCACCTCTAGCTTCAGCGCCTCCAGCAGCAGCACCTCCAGCTCTAGTGCCTCCAGCAGCAGCACCTCCAGCTCCAGCGCCTCCAACAGCCCCAGAACCTCCAGCTCCAGCGCCTCCCATAGCAGCACTTCTAGCTCCAGCGTCACCAGTAGCAGCACCCCCAGAACCGGCACCTCCAGCCCTAGGGTCCCCAACTCTAGGGTCGACAGCACCAGCTTCAGGGCCTCCAGCCCTAGTACCTCCAGCAGTACCCCCAGAGCCGACACCTCCAGCTCTGGTTGGTGCCGATTTGGCGCCTTCTGTCGTGGCCGGCGCGTCAGGGGCCACAGGGGCTCGAGGCACACCAGGGGCGTGTGCCTCGACACCAGCAGCGTGTGCCTCGGTCGCGCCCAGCAGGACGTCGACGCCAGTCGAGGAAATTTCCCCGTCTTCTGCACGGCGCTTGTTTGGGCGATCGCCCCCGATTTCGCGTGCGTTTCTTGCGGACTCGGGTCGAGCGGGGGCGGTAGCGGTATTAGACTCCCCGCCGTTAAGTGCCATAGTTGTTGCGTTGTGCGCGAAAATGTCAGAGAGTAAAGTCGACGGGGATTGAAAGCGAGGAAGAGACTTGGTCCTCGCCAGCTTGAGTGTGGGAGACGAAAATCGGCTAAACCGTTTGAAAATGAGAGACGTGGGTGGAGGGAAATGACCTCCAGCCCACGTTTTGTACTCCAAAACGGGCGTTTAGCGCGGTTCGCCGCTGCCCATTCCTACATTACAGACTGCTTCGCTTTCAAAATACAAATTTTTGAAAAGTGTTACACTTTTAAAAATGTTCATATAACATGCATATGATTTGTGTAAGGAATTTCGCTAATTCCTTACTAAGGCACCGCTTACGCGTACATTTCCAATTTTCGGAGTTCAGGCTCGGTCCGACGACCTCGCCTCCCGAACGTCTTCCGCGTCGCCTTCGGGTTTTCCAAACCCAAACCTACACCCAACCTTAGCACGACTCCGCGACCTCGGCTTACCTAGCTTTGCTATATTATGCCTAGGCCCCGTTGTTTGCTCAGTAGTTGTAATCACTCCCGCGATATTGCATTCTGCGCACTCTTTTTCATACGACTCATAACAATTTGACAGCGGGTGCTCGAGGCCACTTGTGTTGCGATCCCGTTTGCTTTCGCAGCTCAGTTCCGTGAACCCTTCCGTTCGCAATTGTTCCGAACCTTTCACCCGCTCCCTGCCGGACCTAGGTTTTACCGAGTTGACCACCGTTGAGAAATTTGGGTTTTGGCCTTTAAAGCCCGAGTACTACATGGCTGTTTTCATTTTCAAGATTCTTGAATATGAATTCGCCAAAAACCATGTTACCACCCGAAGTGGAGCATTCTCTCACGACAGTGATCTGTGATTGGCCAGCGACACTCAAAGTCATATCGAGATTACGGTCAGCAGGCAAGGCAGCACTGTTCACTTGAACTGAACTTGAAAACCATCTTGTACTAATTGTCAAGCATACTAGACATAGTTCACCCGTCATTCACGCCCAATAAGTCACTTCGTTTTTGCACACAACTCATGTTCGAACACCCGCAAGATGCTGCTGCTATATTCTCCCTGGTCTAGAGCTAGGTTGTTGGTCGCTTAGGTTCCCCCATTCGCCCTCACTTGCCCACGACGCTTTCAGTTCTTTGGCTCACGTTACTCGTGCGTTGTCCACGATCGCGCTCCCTTCTATTTGTCGCCCACACTTCCAACCGTCGCTCCCTTCCATTCGCCTCCCTCTGTTCCGCTCGTCGCCCTCCCTTCCGCGCGTCGCCCTGCTCGTCTCTCTGCCTTTCGCCCGTCCCCTCTCATCCGCTCGTTGCTCCACCTTCCACGCGTCGCCCTCCCATCCGAACGTCGCTCTCGTCACCGTCCCTTCCGCCCGTCGCCCTCCCTTCCGCCCGTCGCCCTCCCTTTCGCACGTCGCCCACCCTTCCGCCCATCGCCCACCCTTCCGCCCGCCGCTCTCCCTTCCGCCGGTCGCCCACCCTTCCGTCCGTCGCTCTCCCTTCCGCCGGTCGCCCACCATTCCGTCCGTCGCTCTCCCTTCCGCCCGTCGCCTTCCCTTCGTCTCGTCGCCCTTCCTCCCGCTCGTCCCCTCGCAGTCCCCGTCCTCCTCTCTCCCCATCGCCCTCGCCATCCCTCCCGTCTCCCTTCCCATGGTGCACACTTGTCACCCTTCCCTGCTTTCCCCCATCCCCTTCCCTGCTTCCCCCCATCCCCTTCCCTGCTTCCACCCATCCCCTTCCCTGCTTCCCCCCATCCCCTTCCCTGCTTTCCCCCATCCCCTTCCCTGCTTCCCCCCATCCCCTTCCCTGCTTCCCCCCATCCCCTTCCCTGCTTCCCCCCATCCCCTTCCCTATTTCCCCCCATCCCCTTCCCTCCTCCCCCCATCCCCTTCCCTGCTTCCCCCCATCCCCTTCCCTGCTTCCCCCCATCCCGTTCCCTGCTTTCCCCAATCCCCTTCCCTGCTTTCCCCCAACCCTTGCCCTGCTTTCCCCCAACCCCTTTTCTGCTTCCCCCAATCCCGTTCCCTGCTTCCCCCCATCCCCTTCACTGCTTCCCCCCATCCTGTTCCCTGCTTCCCCCCATCCCATTCCCTCCTTCCCCCCATCCCCTTCCCTGCTTCCCCCCATCCCATTCCCTGCTTTCCCCAATCCCCTTCCCTGCTTTCCCCCAACCCTTGCCCTGCTTTCCCCCAACCCCTTTTCTGCTTCCCCCCATCCTGTTCCCTGCTTCCCCCCATCCCCTTCCCTGCTTTCCCCCATCCCCTTCACTGGTTCTCCCTTTCTCCCTGTTCCCTGTCTCCGTGTTAGCCATTTCACTGAACCTACTTTCCCCCACCCTCTGCTCTGCTTCCTCTCTACCCCTGCCCTGCTTCCCCTCATCCTCTGCCCTCCCTTTCCTTCATCCTGTGCCCTCCCTTCCCCTCATCCTCTTCCCTCTCTTCCCCTCATCCTCTGTTCTGCTTCCTTCATCCTTGCCCACTTTATCGCCTGTCCACTTTACCGCCTGCCCACTTTACCGCCTCAAATCCTTCCCTTCTCATCCGCGCGCAGGTGTGGCGGAAGGTGTACGTGGCGTGGAGCATGTTGGAGGAGCGGCTTGACGTGATAATCACTGATAACGCCATTCTCTGGCAAGTCAACCCGCTGCCAAGCCTAGGGGAGTGCCAACTCACGCCCCATCGTCGCCAAATGTGATCTTTGCCCCGCGTGCAGCAACACGCGCATGCTCAAGCTCTTCGACGACTGGAATCCCCCAGCACAAGTGATGAGCGTCGCTCTCTCGCACTCTCTCCCATCCGACATGCTGTAGTGCCATAACATAAGGCAAGCTCACTGTGCATGCCTCAACTGGTGCTGCACATTGCAGTGCTTGCGAGTCGTGACCATGGCAGTCTGTTGCCTGCCAGCACGCCAGAGGCACTCTTAGAGCACTCTAGCGGCTGTGAGAAATGCTTCCCTATGTACCTGAAGAAGCTGGGGTTATCTGTGATGATAGTGGTAGAAGGGGTGTATTGTGTATGCCCATATCTCGGTGTTGACCCGAGCTCTTCTTCGTGATGCAACATGTCAATACGGGCCCTATTGCGGTGGCTGCTGACGTTTCCGATTATGCAATTGGCAGTGTTGTGAGTGCAGCACTTCTGAGAAACCGAAGCCAGACGCCTCTCTATTCCTTTCAAGGGAATTTGGGTACCGTAACAGACGAGGATTTTCACAAATATCGTACGGTAATAGTAAGAGATGCAGTGAGCGCAATATGAACCTAGGTGTGTAAGTTATGGTCCCTACCAAACACATGCAACATAATTCGCCAAGGCCAACCATAGAACCCAACAAGTGGATTGGCATAAGGCGAGTCATACGTGGTGAGTATACAGCTCATAAGTCACTATGTTCAAGCTGGTAAGTAGCACTTCGGTGAAGCACACATGCCGGTCTTGAACGCACAACATCGTAGTCAACCTGCGCTAGAGCTGCGGCTGGTGGGAGGAGAACTCAGCAGAGGCGAAGGGCAGCGAGGCGGGGGGAAAGGCGGAGAGCAGCAGGAAGAGGCTGTGCGCCGCATGCAGCAACGACACAAACACGGTGAAAGCACGGTGAGGTGACACGAGCGCAAGGCAATGGCTCATAGCAGCGTCAGTCAAGTGGCTGCAGGTCAAATGCACACAGCAACCACAAGGCACGGGCACGTAGCAGCGGCATGTGCTGTCAAGAGAGGACAGGTGGGCTGCGGAGGCCTTACTTCCATCAACTCGTGTTGTTTAGGATAACGAAACAAACTCCATGAAAATGGCGGAAGGAGCCTGGTGTGCTTAGCTTGAAAGCGTTGTTGAGAGAGCCAGTTTAAAACAAATCTTCACGTAGCAGCGGCATGTAGCAGCACCGCTTAGCATCCGGTGACGGCTGAGGGCTCAAGAGGATCACAAACCATGGATGAAGGGAATGGGGAGGGCGAGAGGACGCCTCCCGTTCAGATGAGGTAACACCAGCATGGCAGCGGCACATAGCAGCAACGCACAGGAGCTGAGGTGACTGTTGAGGGCTCACAGAGATTGCAGGCCGTGGATGAATGGAGTGGGGAGAACACCACTCACGCTGCCACCGCCATGTGCATGCATGACGCCGCACAGAACTGGCACGCTCACTGCCACGTCAGCATGCAGCCAGTCGTGGTAGAACTGGCGCAGCAGCCGGTCCGCCTCCACCACCACCTGATGCGGGCGAGAGGGGGTGCAGGGGGTGCACGGAGGGAGGCATGGGGAGGCATGGGGAGGAATGGGGAGGCCGAGGGGACATAGGGGGCACAGCGGGCACAGGGTGAGGATGAACGGCAGTCAATTATGGTATCACAGGCAGCAAGCGGCCTGCTTCGTCCACCACCTGATGGGCACAGGGGTGCGCATGGGGGACCAGGGGGGACCAGGGGACAGAGAAGCACAGAGAGAATGTGAAGTCCCTGCACAGGGGGAAGCAGAGGGGAAAACAAGGAGGGAATGAGGAGAAGTGGAGGGGGGAAGGAGGAGAAGCAAAGGGGGGAAGGAGGAGGGGGGAATGAGGAGAAGCGGAGGGGGGACGGAGGAGAAGTGGAGGGAGGAAGGAGGAGAAGCGGAGGGGGGAAGGAGGAGAAGCGGAGGGGGGACGGAGGAGAAGCGGAGGGGGTATGAGGAGATCGCCTTTGGAGGGATGGCCAAGAGAGGGCAGGAAGAGGGGATGTGTGAGAGAGTTTTGTGAGAGTTCTGCCCATCTTCATTTTTTGCCGCGGCCCCATTTTGCCTTCACCCTGTGCTTCTCCACGTCTTACTCCACCGACCACTATCCCTGTGCGCGGAAGAGCAGGGGAGGAGCTTGTCAGAGGATGGGGGGAAGCAGGGCAGGGGGGGCGCGTTTACGTAGGGAATGGGATGGGGGGTACGGGGGCAGATGCCGGGGAGAGAGCAGGGCAGAGGATGGTGGGGAGCAGGGCAGAGAATGGTGGGAATAGGGAGAGAGGTAAGCAGGGCAGGGGGGGGGTATAAGTGGGGGATTGATGGGGATTGTTGGGTGGAAGGAAGGGAGTGAGTGGGGGGAGAGATGGGAGGGTGACAAATGTGCGAGATGGGAAGGGAGACGGGAAGGAAGGCGAGGGCGACGAGCATTTGATGGAACGGGGAAAGCGAGGAGACGGGGAAAGCGAGGAGACGAGGAAAGCGAGGAGACGGGGAAAGCAAGGAGACAGGGAGAGAGGGAACCCTCGCCTTTGCGACGGCGGACAAGGAGACAGGTTGACGGGGAAAGCGAGGGGACAAGCGGCAGGGATTGCAACGAGCGGCAGGGAGGGCGATGAGAAGAAGGGATGGCGATGGGAAGGAAGGATGGCGATGGGAAGAAGGGATGGCGATGGGAAGAAGGGATGGCGATGGGAAGAAGGGATGGCGATGGGAAGAAGGGATGGCGATGGGAAGAAGGGATGGCGATGGGAAGAAGGGAGGGTTACGGGCGGAAGGGTGGACGACGACGGGAAAGAAGGGCGACGGTGGAAGGGAGAACGACGGGCGGAAGGGAGGGCGACGGGCGGAAGGTACAGCGAAAGACGGAAGGGAGAGCGATGGGCGGAGGGGAGCGCTACGTGCGGATTGGCGAGCGACGGACGGACGGAAAAGCTCGTGACTCGGGCGCGCTGACGGGCGGAAGGAAAAGCTCGCGACTCGGGCGCGCTGACGGGCGGAAGGGAGAGCTACGGGCGGATGGGAGAGCGATTATCGGATGGGAGCGCTACTACGCGACGAGGGGAGGGGAGGCGCCGGAGTACGACGGGAAGCGAGGCACAAGGGGATGCCCCACGAAACGACGGGTGGCGTGACATTGTATGGCGCGACGGTGGGAGGGGAGGCGCGACGAGGGGAGGCACGACGAGGGGAGGAGAAGCTCGATAAAGAGAGGGGTGGCGCGACTTCTGACGCACTGAGAGGTGCGCTCCCACAATGACTAGTTTGTACATGCGCTTGTGAAGTTCCCTAAAACCTTTCGATTTCCTACAACGATGCGCTCTCGGGATGATTCCCTATCGCGCTTACCTATCATGGATTATTGCTCTGTCAGACATACGCATTTGATGTGACCAGCTATGGGCTTCTCACCCCAAGGAGACAGGTGTCGCACAGATGAGTGACGAATATCCCATCCGCTCGTTAGCTGATTTCGTCCTCGCTTGGTTTTTTGTCTTTCGCCAAACCCGTTAAAGCCATTCGAAATTTTTCCCAAAAACCATGCTGACCTCGGGCTTTAATCTCCTACTAGTCAATCATCATTAGGGCGCTTCACCTCTCAGTTCGAACAGGACGGTTGTTCGAATAGGCGAAATGTTACATTTTTCGCCACTCCTCTCGTATGGGTGTTCGTAACGTCGCTAGTCGGAAATTTCGCGAATTTGAACAGAGTTGTCACACGGGGCACGAAGCTCTCCATTCCGCACGTTCGAACAGAGTTGTTCGAACAAAGTTGGGTTTGGTGACAGGAATTCCGCATGGACGACTGATTTTATTGGTTAGCAGGCTTCGGGTCGCACTCGAATGTTTGCGACCATTGCAAATGTCGCCATGCAGGAGAAAGTTCATCAAAAAGGACATTGTTGTTGGGAAACAACAAGGTGAGCCGGCCAATATCATAGATACTCAAAGTATTCCCGAGCGGAATCTCAGGTGTAATCACCAACAGAAAAACAGTTTCGCGGTATAGTCGTAGGTGTTTCTTGTTGTTTTCTAGATACAGTCACGACAGAAGATGCAACACCTGAAAAAAAAAACTTGTAGCGAACCTAGATGAATTTCGAGACAGATCAACCTCAACTACGGGAAGCCGCCCACTTCAGGAAAAATATATTGCACCCTCTTGACCCAAAAAGTAAAACCCAATCGAGAAGGGATGCGACTCGGGAGGCATCAACCCTAATACAATGCCCTTTACAGTGTTTAGGGTTGATCCCTCCCGCAAATGCGTCCAGATTCTATAGAGGTTTATTTTTTTCTGCCCTGTCGTAAATTTACGTACTTTAATTTAACAAATCCAAGTCGGGAGGGTAAACTAGATAGTTCTCTTTTTGTCACCTCCCAAACTTTCGACCAGCGTAAACAATGTGACTAAACAGCGACAACCAATCAACGTCGAGAAATTCCAGGCTGATTACACCTTAGAGCCTGCTCGGGACTAATCTGAGTATGTATGAAGTTGGCCGCAAGGTGAGCAGTAGTAGAAGAGCACGAAGAGACTGTTTGACTGGATGGGCGAAAAATGAGTCAAACTTGAATGGCAGACGACAGAATTATTTTTTTGCGACGTCTCGCGAAGTCGTCCAGCACTTGGCGACGTCGCATATTCGAACAGGCTGTCACCTCTAGTCACGAGCTGTCACATTCACCAAGGTGTTCAAATTTGTGTTCGGATCTCGTCGGGAAACTGTTCGTACAGTGAATTCGTTACGTATGTTCGGATTTGGGCCTTCCAGCCCCGAGGTGATGCGCCCTTAGTTTCTAACATGATTAGCTGAACAGGTACGTAGAGCAGTGGTTCGTATAACACCAATATATACACGAATCCTGTCCTTTTGAAAGCTGTTACTTAGGCACTTGCCGCTGTGGGATCTAAGAAGCTACTAACCATTTTGGACCCAGTTCCAGACAATTTATGAGCATCAACCAACGAGACTGGACAATGATTCACCAACTATGCTACATCAGCAATGCAACGAGATTACTTCCATGAGGCCCCATCAAGCCAGCACAGTCGCACACACACGCTCAAAAGCAGCGCTTCGTAAGGAGACACAAAAAGCTTCGCTTCTGGAAGACGTGAAGGGAGGAAAAGGTGGAAGAGAACGGATGATGGGAGAAGCCGCCTTGAGATCGAGCACGCTTGGGGAGATGAGTAAAAGGGAAAGCCAGAGATTGCAGAAGAGGGGCAGGAGATGTACAGTGAGGAAGAAGGTAAACAGAAGTGCTGTAGGTTGAGGTGGACACTGGCGGGAGTGTGCAATAAAGGACTCTCTTGCAGTGAATTTCACCTTGCGAATAAGAGCAGGCTTTGAGGGCCGTTGCCATGCTGGTAATCTCTGAACGCACTTGTCAATTGTGTTGTCTTCAAACCATTTTCAACTGCACGGTTGACTTCAAACCATATTCATTCCGAGCTAAGCAAACCGACAATAGCGTTCGTTGCACCGGCACGTACCTTCATACAGCTCCAGCTGGACCATCTTCGCAGATCACGTCGTGCACGCGCGCGGTTCCCAGCAGACGTCCGCCTCTCGTTGCGCCCGCCAGCGCGCCGTGCTGTGACAGCAGCTCTGCCTCGTCTGCCGTCGAGCCCTTAGCGCCTCCTCTCGCCGCTGCTGCTGCCACCGTTGCTGCCGCAGCGTCGTTAGCCACACGGTTCGCGTGTCGCACGACAGTGAGTGCGAACACGATGGCGGCGACGGCGACGATTACGCAGAACGCGGCGACGGACAGAGCAACAATGGAGACGGTGGGCATAGCGCTGCAGGGACAAGCGCCACCGTCAGCAGCCGGCTCGTAGACAGTGGTGACGGGCAGCGGCTGTTGCGCGGACTCTCCGTGGATGAGCGGCTCAATCTCGTCCACTTGAGCGCAACTCACGGAGCCAATCGAGGCGTACGTAGGAGTGGGACCGAAGTAGCCGCTCGTTGCACTGTGCGAGTGAGCCTCCGCCCGACGCGCGGCCGCTATAGTGTCGGGAGGGGTAGTTCCTGGCGGGGAGAGGAGCTCTCCGGGCATGTTCACGGAAAAGGACGCGGAGGAGCGCGCGCAGTCGGGCGAGTCCCAAAAGGTGAGCGCGCGACAAACGGAATGCGGTGTGCTGATGCCACGTTGAGCATCCCATACGATGACGTAGCTGGCTGCCACGTCAGCGTGATCGGGAAAGAAGGGCACGCAGTCGGCAGGCGAAGACGGTGCGCGAACAATGGACGGGGAGGCACACGAAAAGTGCTCGTCGGGGCAGAAGGAGATGACGGTGGACATGATCGACGGGGGGGACGCCATGGCGGCCAGAGGCATTACTGCCAAGACCAGCGCCAGGCGAGCAGCAGCGACAACCGAAGCCATTACAAGTGCGGAAATTGAGAGCGCAGTTGACAGACAAGGAGGTTGTGGTGGATGTGAAGATAGTTGGGGGATCTACCAAGAAGGAGCCCCTTCATGCTTTTTGCATCAAGCCGAGGGGCCAAGCCAAAGCGGAGAAGAGCCAGCAACCAAAGAAATGAGGGAGGCGAGACGACGAAGCGCGGAGGGGCATACAGCCCATGGTGATTGGTCAGCGACTAGGATTTGTGTCGCTGGGCGCAATTTCCGAAGCGCAAGGCGGCGGACTTGAGGTGTGTGGCACATGACAGATGAACGGTGGTGATGAATGGCAACGCCATTCCAACCAATGCCAGTCCGAACGTCTATACACTGGTGGCGGCGAATGCGAGACATACAATTACCGCCTTGCTGAGGAGACGTGTTACATAATAGGTTTACTGTTGTTACGGGTGCAATGAATCGAAGTAGCGAGAATTGCACTAGGGTGTCAAAACGAGTACAAAATCTGAGCAAAGGCATGAGCGAACATTTATACGCGAAACATGCAAACGGTAACGCGGTGCGTGCGAGCTAGCTAGTGCTACGCTGGAAGCGAGGCTCGGGCTAGTCCCGAAGCGTAGGCCGACACGGCCGGTCCAGCAGTGCGAGGTTTGGTAAAACAATGCGCGCGAAGTCGGCGAAGCCCCGTAAGCAGTAACGGACGAACAACGGCTGCTGCTGTACGCGGTGTTGCTCGGTGCGCTAAGGATTATCGTGAAAATTCCTTACACTACCCCCCCCCCCCCCCCCCCCCCCCCCCCCCCTCTTCAAGAAGCCCCTTCCGCTACGCGAGTGCGTGTATATCGCGGAAACCCCAGCTCCTCATGTACAGTTGCAGGGCAGGGTGGTTTTCGATGTTGGCCAGGGGCACCCAGCTATCCTCAGTTGGCGTGCGGTCCTTCCAGCGAACGAGGAATTCAATCCTCCTGATTCCCATGGGGTGTCGAATCCGATGGCTCGGGATTTTTTCGAGCTCGATGATTGGCTCCGATGCAGGGCGAGTCATGGATGGCGGGCGGTGACGAGGCTGTTGGATTGTGGTTGGGATGTATGGGCGAAGCAGGCTGACGTGGAATGAAGCCTGATGTACCAGTCCGTCGGCAACAGTAGGTGGGCTGTCATTGGGGTAATCATGTGGCTGATGTGGAATGGTCCACAGTAGCGGGGTTGTAATTTCGGTACGACGTGCAATCTTAAGTTCTGTGTGCCGAGCAGTACGTAGTCCCCTGACAAGTACGTAACTAGGCGGCGATGGCGGTCAGCGTTGCGCTTAGCGATGACATTGGCTTTTTTAATTGCTTCAGGGGCTCTGGTGCGGGCAGCTTGCAGAATTTCGGCGAATTGTTGTACACGTGGCGTTGGGTCGTCCGGATTCGGCGTCATGGGCACTGTAGGGTTTTGCCCGTAGTTCAGGTACAAGGGGGACTGCTGTGTCGTCGCTGACATGGTGTTGTTGTACGCGAACTCGATCAGCGGCAGCTGTTGCTCCCAAGTGGTCGGGTCGTCGCACGTGGCACGAATCAACTACTCCATCGTCTGATTCATCCGCTCCGTTTGACCGTCGGTCTTGGGGTGGTACGACGAGCTGAACTGTAGCCTTGTCCCGAACTGCTCCCAGAGGGTTTTCCAGAAGTTGCTGGTGAATTTCGTGTCGCGGTCGCTGATTATCGCGGCTGGTATCCCATGTAGTCGAACGACGGCTGCGATGAACAGGCGAGCAGTTTCCTCGGCTGAGATCGATTTCTTGCACGCAGCGAAGTGTGCCATCTTCGTCAAACTGTCAACGACGACCATAACCGCGTCGTTACCCCCAGGGTTCGAAGGTAATCCATGGTAACGTGCTGCCAGGAGCGCTCAGGTGGTGGAATCGGCTGCAACTGGCCCGCCTTTCTTTTTCGCGAGCTCTTCATCACGTGACACGTAGGACACGAGCCCACGTGGTGCTGTACGTCGGTCAATAGCTCCGGCCAGTAGTAATATCGCTGCAGTTGCTGTCACGTTTTTTTCTACCCCGAAATGTCCCGAGGTAATCCCGTCGTGTGCCCCCTGTAGTAACAGTTCCCTCAGTAGTGAGTACGCGGGTACCCAGATGCGGTTGGTGCCTGTTTTTACGTAATAGACGCCTTTGGCCTCTGCCAGTTGCTGTGAATTTCCGGTCGTGAAAAACAGGTTGGTACGGTATCCGTGGGTGAATAGGCCTGTTAACAGTGGATTGGTTTGGGAGAGTAGGAGGGCGTGGAGTTGGGCGGTGGGGCGTGTGAGTGTGTCGTCGATGTTGGATGCGCCTTTTTTGTACGTGACCGTGTAGTGGAAGTTGGACTCCAGATAGTCCAACCAGCGGATCTGTCGTAGGTTGAGATTCGGTTGGGCACGAAGGTACTGTAGGGATCGGTGGTCTATCCGTACTGTCACGTATGCTCCCGTGAGGTAACATCGCCACACTTTGAATGCGTGCACGATCGCCAACATCTCGTGGTCGTGTATCGGGTAGTTGCGTTCGGGCGGGTGAAGTTTGTGAGACTCGTATGCGATTGGCTGGAGGCCGTTCCCAAAGTCCTGCAATAGTACTATTCCCACAACGATGTTGCTAGCATCGGTAACGAGCTCGAACGGACGGTGCGGATCTGCGATGTGAAGTACGGGTGGTGAGCACAAAATATTTGTGAGAGCGGAGAAGGCAGCTTGCTCTTTCTCCCCCTATGTGTACTAAACCCCCTTCCTCAGCAAGTCGGTCAACGGGGCAGTCAGCTTCGCCATGTCGGGGAAGAACCGGCGTAGTTGCCGACCCCAGAAAACTCTGCAACTCAGTCAAGTTGATCGGCGTGTGCCATGCTTGAATCGTCGCGGTCTTTTTTCGGGTCTATTTCCACTCCTGCAGCTGAAATATTGTGTCCCAAAAACTCCAGTCGGTCCTGTAAAAACTCACACTTGGACGCTTTTGTCAGTAGGCGGTTCTCACACAGTTTTTTAAAAACTGTTTCGATGTCCTGTAAGTGCTGTGATCTGTCGGGGCTGTAAATCAGTATGTTGTCAAGGTACACGACGACGCACTTATCTAAAAGCGGGCGGAAGGCTTTGTTCATGGTCATTTGAAAGGTGGCGGGGGCGTTGGTTGTCAGAATCCCAACCACTAGACCATTGGGATAGAAGGGCTCGTTAAGTAGCGGGTGTTAGAATGTTATTGTTCTCTAGCCTGCAGTGGGGTACTCTATATGTATCCTGCTGCTTTCTAGTTAACCTCTCCTTCTTTGCTTAAACTGTCTCTTGCCTAGCTAGGACTCTCCTAGCTATGGCTCTTGATCTTAACTATACTACTCACTATCTTCACATGGTATCAGAGGGCGGCATGTCTGCCGCCGCCCTGTGTATGGGCTCACCACCTGCTTCCGCTTCCGCTCTGTCCGCCGCGCGCCCCGTGGTGCGCGGCGTCGAAATTAGGGTTTTCAGCCCGCCGTGCCCCCCGAGGCGTGCGGCGGTTTTCTGCCCGCCGTGCGCCCCGAGGCGCGCGGCGGCTTTCTGCTCCGTCAATCCGCGCGTCGCCCGCGGGAGGCGCTGCGACGGGCGACGGGGACCCGCGCTTCGCCCCCCGTCGCCCGTCGTGGCCCGCGCGACCTGCGTAGGGCCCGCGCGCGGCCCGTACAGCCTGCGCGCGGCCTGTACGGGCTGCGCCAGGCCCGCGCGCGGCCCGTACGGGCAGCGCCAGGCCAGGGCGTGCCTCTGGCCGCCCGCGCGTGGTTCGTACAGGCTGCGCCAGGCCCGGGGGCGCCCTGTTTCCTCTTCCCTTGCGCTGCCCACTGTCCCCCGTGCTTCTGACGGCGCCCCACCCCTGCTGCTGCCCGTTCTCCTGAATTAGGGTTTGGGGGTGAGGGATATGGGGGTGCAGTTTCTATGAGCGCCGTCCCCTGCTCCTCCTCCTCCTCCGTCTCCCGCTACTGCAGCTACCACTCAGGGGGGTGGGTGTGTGGGATCCGAAGGAGTGGTACTAGGGGGGTACCGTGGGAGTGGAGCTAGGGCTTGAGCAGGGGGTGTGTGAGAGGGGCGTGGGGCAGCTGGAGGAGGTTGTGTGGAGGTAGCGGTCGTGTTGCCTGCAGCGCCTGTAGTCCGTCGCCCTTTCTTCGGTAGCCAGTGAGCCTGTTGCACCCGTCGCCAGTGGGTCCGTTGCTCCTGCCGCTCGTCTATAGTCGCGAAGCCAGTTACTCCAGTAGTCCGTCGCCCTTGCTTCGGTAGCCACTGAGTCAGCCGCTCCTGTGCCCGTGCCTCTGCAGCTTTAGTCGTTGCCTCACATCTTCTCTCCTTCCACAGTTCCTCCTCCTCCTCACATGCCCTTTGCGACTGCCTCTAGCTTTACTTGTGCATGTGAACCTGCTCTAGGACTACTTGCTCTGCTGATTATACCCCACTTTGACTATGGGGGTGTGTCAGAATGTTATTGTTCTCTAGCCTGCAGTGGGGTACTCTATAGCGAGTACAACCCCTTAGGGTTTTCTATATGTATCGTGCTGCTTTCTAGTGAACCTCTCCTTCTTTGCTTAAACTATCTCTTGCCTAGCTTGGATTCTCCTAGCTATGGCTTCTGATCTTAACTATACTACTCACTATCTTCACAACGGGTCAGTGCGCCCATAACCCCCCAGGCCAACATGCCTGTAACCCGTCCCTAGGATCAATCGGGGATCACCAGTGAACCTCTGACACCCCCTCGCAATGGGATGCCCGCAGTGCACACACTGGAATTCGAACCCGAGACCTTCGCTCTGATACCATGTCAGAATCCCAACCACTAGACCATTGGGATAGAAGGGCTTGTTAAGTAGCGGGTCAGTGCGCCCATAACCCCCAAGGCCAACATGCCTGTAACCCTTCCCTAGGATCAATCGGGGATCACCAGTGGACCTCTGACATTGGTCAGTCCGAAGGGCATGTTGGTGTATTCCAAGGATCCGTAGCGTGTTCGGAAGGCTGTCTTGGGGCAGTCGGGTGGG